TAAAAAAATACAACGTACATTCCCGCTAAAGTTTCGCTCCTGGACCGCGCCCTGCCGTTGCCGCTCTGTGTGGACGGTTCTCGTGTTTGCCCAAGACCGCGGACCCAGCCCGTGCTTGTTTGTCATAGCGGTCGGCCCTGGCCTGCGCTGCGTCGCCACCCGGTTTCAATGTCGCAAGGACCATTACAAAAATTCCCTGGCCTGGAACGCTCACGCTACCGCCTCTGTGTGGCCAGAGCATTGTGGCACTTAATATCGGACCCACACCCCGGACACTCCAAACAACGGTCGAAAGTTAGTTACCTACTACTACCACATATAGGGACGCGCTATGTGCACACGCGCAAATGTGTGCGTGAAGTGACAGGGTTACCCATCACTATCTCGTACTATTACGTTACGTGGTCATAGCAACAAAATAGCATAAATTCTAACGCTTTTCTATAATTTTATAAATTCAATAACGCTTATCTATAATTTTATTAATAGAATCCTAATAATTACACATGTTCATTAGGTATTTATATCGATGTGATATTATATTTTTCATTAATTCACTAACTAGAATAATATTTATGATTTATTTGAAAAATATATTAAAAGTGTTTAAAATGCTATATTTTGGATAGGTACTTTTAAATAAGGTAACCAAGTATTTGAAATTGCGTATCTAAGTTTATCATTACCTAGTTAATAATAAGATATATTCACTACGTAATATTTATCGGCAATCCAAATTGAAAATTCGATAAGCCTTGTCTACTAGCTCAAGAAGTTATGGCGTCTCATTATATTGATATAGTAAATCTGTATTATGTATTACTCTGCACTAAATAAATGAAGAAAGCAATAACTGAATGAGTCTCAGACAAGTTTTTTTTACTTGTCTTTTTTTCATCTTTCGAAGAACGAAAGAAACTCCTCTCATTATCCCGTTTAGTTGATAAACATCCGTACACAGCACAATTCACAACCATTATTATAAATAGTAACGTAAAATGATGTTATTTTTGACGTACAAGTTTCGTAATGAATAAATGAAAACTATATTCAAACAATCAAAGCCGCCTTAGCGCGAAAACGGCTCGCTGACAGCCTTATTGCAGTTCAATCAATGTGACCGTTAATGTGCGGGGTGTGGTGGGGTTGTAATGGTCAGCTCCAGTCGGTTTGAGTGAGCATGAGACTGGTTTGTGCGTGAGTTCTCGTTGACCCGGAGCTGCGTGTAAAATTTATAAGCGAGGAGAAGGAAGGGGAACGGTTAAATGTAAGGGTACAGTATTGATATCTAGTATTTTACTTCCCCGAGTTTACATTAGGAGTATACAGATATGCTTACTGCTCTTATCAGTTACATATAAAAGGTTAACTTTAAGTATTTTTAAAGCTAATACACTGCACTAAGAGTTTTGGAAAGTACACGAGTGACACAAGGACACTTCACTTATACGTCACTGACCTGGAATTTACCGGATGCACTTTTATATTACATACCAGACCCGCTGCGAAGACAGCGTAGTTCCTACAGGAGTAACGCAGTTATATGTAGATGCAGACCACCCGTGGAGCACATAACACGTGATCGGGCACAGCCGAACAAAAGTTACGGCGCATTTGTCCCAGCCATTCAGTTGATGGCGAGATTTGAAATTAAAAGTACCAAAAAAAAACCCTGCAACAATACAGATTGTTACAGTACATTGAAATAAATGACGAAACATCTAGCCAAGGAAAGAATCCGGAGGTCATCTCACCATGCGGTCCGGTGACACGGGTTTTACGTCTGGTACAGGGTTCAGAGACCCATAATTACGGCATCATGGATACTCCTGGTTTTCATTATAAATGAAGGTATTGGGCGACCATGCCCCCAATGGGATAAATCACCGCAGATATAGAAATCAGGAACACCTTGCGAGTCGACGTGTCGAGCAGAAAAACAAGCTTCCGCCGAATTCCTCCTAAGAGATGTTACCCGCAAACAACGCCACGGACAATCTATCGATTCATCTAGATGAAGCTCCCAAGTCTTATTACCTAAACCCGCTAGAATACAGGGCGATTCCTGGTTTACGTATATTACTTTACAGGAAGTACTTGGCAAATATTAAAGAACAGCTATAATTTACATGAAGCTCGACTACAGAAGTAAAATCGAGTTTATTGGTACGCAGCATTAGTATTCTGCGTTACCATACAAGAAAAATTAGCCAGGATTGGTGTTTTCAAAAATATGTCAAAGTAAAGGGTTTCATTCACGATATTGATTTTATAGAAAAATTGTTCACCAACAGTTAATATATATGAGAATGGTTTAAATAATAGATTACACCAACACTTAAGAATTTCAACTAATTTATCTAATTATTTTTAAACTATAACGTCAAAGTGACATTCTGTACAACAATGGTGAAAAATACCAAGGAGAGAAGATACATTTTGTTTTTGTTTTGTATTTAGGAGATCTACCAAAACAAATATGTTACAGGGTATCTAAAGCTAGGGAGGGGCGGAGAGTTTCCGTTCTCGTTACTTTTTTTCTTCTCTGGAATAGCTGTTTATTAATGCCCGCCTAAAATTTCATCACCATCAATCTTTGAAGTCAATGAACCCACGAATGAAGATACAGATGATCTTCAGCTTATTGAGTTACAAATAAAGAACAAAATTGCCTTTTTTAGCGCACAATAAAAAACCACTACAGACATCGTAGGCGCAGCGGCGATCAAGCAAAATGGCTTTGTGTGGTTTAAGATAGAAACTGTGGAAGATAATAATTTAAATGAAAAGGTCGTAACCCTAACAAGCCGGGACCAGCTTCACGGCAGTAAAACAGAAAACTTCCGGTCCACAAATCTATTAAAGGTCGGGTTAAGAAGGTAACAAAGAAGTAAGGAGTAAAGAGTAAGACTGTAACAATAAAAAGGTATATATAGAAAAACTGGTACATAAATATAAAACACTACGCTTCCTAAATTGATGAAAAAGATATTAATTAGACACTTACTCCTAAAAGGGCCGAGTTATACTGAATTACAGATACGTATTCATGGGTACATGATAAGGCTGTAGACTGTTATACACTTATTAGAATTGACACATGATTCAGATTATACTATAATGATTATAATTTAGTAAAGAATCAAAATTAGATGCAATTGAATTTAAACAGCTCCGTCCGCTGTCGCGAGCGAGCAGGGAGTGACGATGGAACTAAACAAAATCAGAATGTGAAGCAAAAGAACGGAATAATTAAAAATATAAAAACGAGTGGCCAGGAACCGGAGAAAAGCAATAAAAATATAGGATGACGATGCAAGGAGGTCACATAACAGTCTAACTCTTCGAAATCAATGTATAAATGTAATTTGAAGGGGGTTTTATCTGATACTGAATGTGTTGTAGTCAAGCTATGGTGGTAAGCTTCACGTCTGTCCGTAACAGTTGCAGTGCCATTCAGAGATTTAACGGCCGTTCCCAATAACTTCAGTTAGCGATAGATTGGTACCGAAGATAAGCAGTATGTTTCTATCTATCTTTCAATTACGTCTCACAAACCTAGGTAACGGCTATCTATCCATCACATTCGATAGATAGAGTTCACCATCTGGCCCTCTCCTGCGTTTCGTTACTTCAAACGCCAGTAAAAACAATATTGCCGTAAATGGTCTTTTTTCGCGAAAATTCTTTACAAAAATATGAACTATAACGAAATTTAAACCAGAATAGTATACTTTTGCTAATTGTAATCTAAATCGCACAGATGGGGCATTGCCACTGTACCCGTCACCCTGAGACATAAGTTTACAAGTCCCATGTGCTTGTAATTACACCAGCACTCTTGAACTTTAAAACCGTAACGCAGTAATGCTCACATTACTACTGGGTGGCAGAAATAGGTAAGGTGGCAGTACTTCCCTGGACGGACTCTTTCACAAGAGCAATTACATTTTAATGTCATTTTAATTTCTATTGTAAATGATTAGAATAATATCAAACATATATTTGATACGAGTGTTAATAAGCGCATTCCTTTATTGAAGGACAAGGATGCTGTTATAATATCTGTAGGATCCAAAATACGTTCTACTGCCTAGCGAGGTTCTCCCCTAACGCGGCAATTTAGGCCATTGTTCAGCAATGCGGCTTGTAAACTTTACGCATCTTCAAAAAGTTTTCTTACTCACGTCAAAAACTTTTTTGTCCTTTAACAAGCACATGATTCGAAATGACTCGCAAGGTGCAATTGCCTGCTGGGAGACATAAATCTTCCAAATATGAAAGGCAGCTCTCTCAACTAGGCAATGATAGCTAGTTAAATTAAACAATATAGTGATGCTAGGGGTGTGTTAGTTGTTCCACCTCCACGTGTGCGAAGTCTTTGAGCAGTCTGTGGTAACATGTTATCACAGAACGCCCAAGGACGTAGCCGGTACACCCTGGGGCCAACACTGACAATCCTCAGCTTCAGTCTGAGAATTGTCAGTGAGGGCGCGAAGCGATCAACACGGCCCGGCCATGCGTTTCTGGGGGTGGACCATGGCACGTGGTGGGCAGTCTAAAGTTACACCCTCCTGCGTTAATGCCTACGCAGTTGAGCGCCGTACGCAGGGATGAAGGAATCCTGGGGGGTTGAGCCCGAGCGGGATGGGGACTCCGGCAAGCAATACGCCCCCTTTGGCCCTGATTTCCTGCTAAACGGTAGCCCTGTGATTAGCCAACACAGGGAAATGGCATTGTGTCCCGTCAGAGGGCCACAGGCGAGGTGTGGGGGGGACGGACTCGGCCATGCTGACGGGGTGAGTATGTGCGGAACACCTGGCTGACTTTGATCAGGTCAGCCAGCCGCACATTTCGAGCCCCTGATGTCGCGCAGTGAGCTCCCAACTCTTGCACCTATACTCTCCTGACAATCCTGGTGTCCCGAATGGGACATCCCCAAAGGTGCGGGCTCCGTGGTGGGTGGGAAGTCAGGAGAATGAATTCTAGGAACACATAACATGGATTTGAACGATCATCTTTTAAATACCAACACCCAAAACCCAAAACCGGCGGTACTGGAGGGGAAACCCAAAAGTGCCCCACAAGCAACTACAAACACACAGCGCCCTACGGTGAGCGGTAGGCCAAAGGGGAAACCCCAAGGTCAGCCGAGCACCGATGCTGGTGCTAGCACCACACCAGCGGTTGTGGCCCAAACCCCAGGTTCTGCGGCCCCCGCTCAAAACCCATCAAACGCGGCCCTTGAAGCAGGGTGGACCTTGGTGAGTCGCAAGCCCAAATCCAAGGCCACGGCACCCATCCGCAAGGAAGGGACTAGTGGCCACGGCGAGCGCCCACCTCCGGCCCCCAGTGGGAGCAAGAGACGCCCTGCCCGAAAAAACAAGAAGGCCCGTCGTAGAGAACGCGAGCGACGCACTTCACACAACCCCCTGCCGAAGGAGGGAGAGGCGAGGCCCCCAGTGGGTGGCGCGAGTGGCCCAGGGACTGCATCAGCACGGTCAAATGGGTCGGTCGCGCACCCCACTGGAAGGCCCCCCCCCCTTCTAACAGCAAACCGGGAGAGAGCAGGCAGAGGTCCTCGACCATTGCCAAACGTGCCCGCCTTGACGAGACCATATCTCCTAGAGGCGAGCACAAGCGGCAAAAGGTTGAGAGGCCCGCTCAGCAACGCACCTACGCCGAGGCCACCAGGCCCGAACTCATGGCTGTAATTACTTCAGCCAAAACTGGCTACATACGGAGCCCCGATGCCGACATGGTTCAGGTGGCCCTATGTCAGCGCCTCACGCAAGGAGCGGAGGAGTGCAGCGAGGAGGACGTCGGCCCACAGTTTCGTGGTAAACCTGTCTACAGTGACGGGTCCCTGAAACTGTGGTGTCAGGACACAGCCACCTTCCAGTGGCTAGAGGATGCTATTAGCACCATCAGGCTGCCATCCGGGGAGCCCCTCTCATTGAAAAATGGGGTGGAGGCTCCCCGGAGGGTGGTCTGTGGACTACTCATCCCTGGTCACTGGGAGGATGCGCGTCGAATCGGCCGCACCCTCAAGTGGCAAAACCCGTGGGCGGAGGCACACCGCTGGGTTGTTCACAGGCTGCAGCAGCATAGTGGCAACTCCTTTGTAGTGGTGAGCCTCCCAGAAGAGCTCGTCCCCGCTATCCTGGGGCATGGCCGGCGCCTAACCTTCCAGTTGGGCACGGTCTACCTCAGGTTTAGATCAAAGAGGGGCCTGTACACAGATGTGCCACCCGAGAAGACGGGCACAACAACGACGCGGATGGACGTCTCCCCGGAGCCCTCCACCTCCTCCAATATTCCCGGAGAAGGTGAAGGGCCCTCCTCGACCCCCGTCTCTGCGGACGCCGCTGTCAAACCGGTGGCGACCAGCAGTGACGACGAGTGCGTGTTGGGGATGAGAGACATCCGACTGAGCGAGGACGTGGACGAGGAGCTGCTATCATCTGATGGCGGTTTCCCCCTCGCTCAGTAAACTTCACATCGTCCAGAGCAACCTCCACCACAGCCAGGCCGCAACGGTTCAGCTCCGGAAATGGTTGGAGGCCAACAACACAGCCATGGCACTAATCCAGGAACCGTGGATTAGTGCCCGTGGCCAAATAAATGGACTCTCACATCTGAGAGGTAAGCTACTATCGACTACCATCTCAGATAAACCTAGAACTTGCATATATTACTCCAATAACTTACATGTACAGCCACTAACTGAATTCTGTTCCAGAGACCTGTGTGCCGTAAAGCTTTTAGCAGACGCGGCCACGGGTCTGCCTGAAGTGGTGCTCGCCTCTGTCTATATGGCGGAGACTGATGTGCCACCACCACAGGAAATGGTTCAGCTAATCAACTACTGCGAGCAGAACGGCCAGAATATCATCGTGGCTACTGACTCCAATGCCCACCATCCGTTGTGGGGCATGGAACTCGCAAATGATAGAGGTAAGAACCTAACAGAATACTTATTCACAACTAACCTTCAAATCCTTAATAAAGGTATAGTACCAACTTTTATAAATAAAAGATGTAGAACTATTATAGACCTAACCCTAGCGTCAGAAGGAGCAGTGGACCTTATCCACAACTGGCACGTGTCCGAAGAAGCATCTTTCTCGGACCACAGATGGATAAGATTCAGCTTAGAAACAACTATTAAAGAACAACAACCGAAACGGAATCCCAGAAAAACCGACTGTAAACTATACGCGGACAAACTACACCAGAACCTGGGAGAACCGGGAGCACCGGGAAGACTACTGGGCACAGCACAGATAGAAACACAGGTTAAAGAACTAACATCAAACATATTGAACAGCTATAACTCCGCATGCCCACTGAGTGACGCAGCCCCGCGACAAGGTCGACACTGGTGGGGACCTGAGCTTGAGAGGCTACGAAGAAGGGTAAGGAGACACTTCAATAGAGCAATGAACACATGCGCGGATGAGGACTGGGAAAACTACAAGACGGCCAAATCCAAACTAAAAAAGCGCATACGGTTCAGGAGCACCGCGTCATGGCGAGGCTACTGCGGGAACATCACGTCTTGCGCACAAGCAAACAGAATAAGGAAAATCCTAGGCAACTCAAATTCAACTGAGCTAGGTTCAATACGCAAAATAGATAACACATACACAACTTCCCCTGCGGAAACGGAAAGAACCCTACTGGAAGTACATTTCCCAGGATGTAGGTTCGTCCAAGACGACAGGTGTGTAGAAATGAACTACACCACATCGATCCATAACTGGCGATACGCAGAACAAGTAGTGACATACGAAAAGACAAAATGGGCAGTAAACACATTTGAACCATACAAAGCTCCGGGCCAAGATGGAGTATTCCCTGCACTCCTACAATGGGGCGGGGACACACTGGTCCAGCACCTGGTCAGCATCTTTCGGGCCTGTCTAGCATTCAGCTATGTGCCCCACAGCTGGCGAGAGGTAAAAGTCATATTTATACCGAAACCAGGAAAACCCGACTACACTGACGCGAAGTCCTTCAGACCAATCAGCCTCACATCGTTCTTCTTGAAGACTTTAGAAAGGATATGTGACAGAGAACTGAGGGATGGAGCGCTTAAGAACATTCCATTACACGGTAACCAACATGCATACAGCCAAGGCAAATCCACTGAATCGGCCCTACATGCCGTTGTGGGCAAGATAGAAGTGGCCCTTAAAGACAAAGCAATCTGCCTAGGCACCTTTATAGATATTGAAGGAGCCTTCGATAAAACCAACTTCTCCAGCATACAATCAGCAATGAAAAGACACAAAGTAGACGAAGTGCTAATTAGCTGGATTAGCAACATGCTGAAACAAAGAACAATAAAAACAACAGCAAATGAGACCCCATGGGCCATAGTAGCGAAGGGGTGCCCTCAAGGAGGGGTATTGTCGCCTCTGCTGTGGAACATGGTCGTAAATGACCTTATCATTAAACTCAACAAAGAACATTTCTATACAATAGGATATGCTGATGACATAGCTATACTGGTAACAGGAAACTATGCCAATACACTCTGCGACATTACACAAGCGGCTCTCCGAATTGTGGAAAGATGGTGCAGAGCATATGAACTATCGGTAAATCCAACAAAGACGGAACTAGTAATGTTTACCAACAAACGACTACTAGGTAACTACCGATTACCCAAACTCTTCTGCACAGAACTACAGATATCAACCGAAGTCAAGTACTTGGGAGTAATACTGGACAACAAGTTGAACTGGAACAAACATCTGGACAACAAAATTAAAAAAGCTACTATCACCTTCTGGCAGTGCCATAGAATGGTGGGTAAACAATGGGGACTATCACCCAAGATAACACTATGGCTCTACACTGCGGTGATAAGACCCATGATCAGTTACGGCGCGATAGCATGGTGGCCACGAACCAAGCTGACGACCGCAACCGACAAGCTGGACAAATTCCAAAGACTCGCTTGCATGGCGACGACCGGCTGCATGAGGACGACCCCAACTGCGGCCCTCGAAGCGCTGCTGGACCTTCGACCCCTCCCACTGTTCATCAGACAGGAAGCGGCGTCAACAGCAGTGCGTCTAAACAGAGCCGGCCTCTGGAAGCACATGAGGACCCCACATACAGAAATCCTTTACAAGATTGTCAATGAGGAACCGCTACTGGAGGCGGTTGTGGATAGGATCCCAAAACAATACATCTTTGACAAGAAATACAAGATACAATTATTTGAAGATCCCAACGAAGGACTAAACCCCAGAGAGGTCCAAGTCTTCACAGATGGATCTAAAACAAACTCAGGAACAGGTACTGGGGTATTCTCAGAAGACCTCAATATCAGGATATCAGCACCGCTTGGTGACCACAACACAGTATTCCAGGCTGAATGCATGGGCATCAAGTTGGCGGCAGAAGCAATCATAGCGAGAAGAGTAAAGAACTACTCCATTCGAATACTCTCTGACAGTATGTCAGTACTTCAAGCACTGAATAGCTATGACATAAACTCAGGGCTCATTTACGAATGCCATCAAGCACTCATGGAGGTATGTATACAAAACCACGTAACTCTTCAGTGGATTAAAGGACACAGCGGCTCACGTGGCAATGACGCAGCAGATGAACTAGCCAGGAAAGGGTCGGAGACGGACGCTGTAGGACCAGAACCGATAGTGTCCCTCCCCTGCCAATGGTCCAGAACAACTATACACAAAGGTACAAAATCTTTACATAATAATACATGGACCACCCTTACGGTTTGTAGACAGGCGAGGGAAGCACTCCCAACGCTCAACGCCAGTCTATCTCGAATACTAATTAAACTTAAAAGGCAAGAGCTTCGCACTCTAACTGCCGCGCTAACGGGTCATGGTCCGTACAATAAACACCTTTTCAATTTAGGTATCACAGACAGCCCTCTATGCAGAGCGTGCATGGAGGGGGAGGAAACGGCTGCGCACATCCTACT